AAACCTACCGAAATAAACTTTCGGTTCGGTTTTTATATGGAGATTCGGTTATCGACTTTTAATTTTAAAAAATCTTCGTTATTTTGGTTATGTTTTTTATATGTCGATCCAGTTGTCGACTTCTAATTTTAAAATTTTAGTTATTTCGGTTCGATTTCGACTTTATTTTTTAAAACAACTGAAATAATTGAACCAACCGAACTATAAGAATAGTATTATTTTTTTATGCGTTAAATATATGAATTATTTCTTTCCAAAAAAAAGTGATATAAAATATTAAATATATTTATTAAAATACTCAATATATTTTTATAATATAAAAAATAATATATTTATGTTATTTTGGTTAAATCAATTAACTGATTAAATGATTATTTTTGTACGGTTTTAGTTTGATTTTGGGACAAAAGTTTTGTCAATTCGTTTTTTCCAAAAGTCAGTGTGTTCGTTATGGTTTTGACATTCTGATCGATCGGTTCGACTGAACCGACCGATAAACAATATTGTGAATTATGTAGTTCGTTGATATTTTGGTAACTTTTTTAATTTCTAATGTACACATATACACACGGTAATGTGCAATTTTATTTATCATTATTGTGCGTTTAAATTTTTTTTTTTATAAAAATAATAGATTTAACCCACAAATTTAATTGTAATATAAATATAATTAAATTCATAAAATTGCATATCAATTCCTTTAAAATGTCCAGTTTCAAAAAGCAGCCCACCCCAACCCAAATTCGTGAGATCTGGTGCAATTGATGTTCCGTGAACGCCGGTTACGCCGACTTACTGACCCGCCGCCCGTTGGCCCTCGAAATTCAGATTCTCGTCGTCTTTGAAGGCCGTGAGTTATTTAACCTTCCAATGATATTTGGGATCTCGCCGCGCAGTTACCCGCCGGATCCGTGTCCGGTGCTCGAGACTCGTTAGAATGTCGATTTCCGATGGGATTCCGCCTTCGTCCGAGTTTCTGGCGGTCGTACCTTGAGACAGACAGAGGCGGCGGCGGAGATGCCGTGGGAGACGGCGGAGCGGTTTGTGACATTCTTGTTTCTACTGCATTTGTTATGATAGTGTTTCTCTGTCTGTTGTCCAGGGATGATTTGGACTTATCTATATAGCTCCAATGTGCTAAGGAGATTGTTTGAATTCATTATGCATTCATCAACAGTTATATGTTTAATTCGATTTTATAAATTTATTACTTCAATTTTTTGCTATGGAGTCATAGAATGTTACTACATATGAAGTCATCCACAATTATTCATATATGGTGTGCCGTTTAATAAATATACTCCAGACCGTTGTCAATACGTCAAATTTTTCATAGAATTTTTGTAATCCCCTGAGCCTGTTTGATAGACCTTTTAGAGTTTCTGTCTTTTTTTTTTTCTTTTTTTTTTCCTCCATATTTTAAGTATGAGCGAGCTTCTGGTAAATTTGTTGCTTTGGGATGCTCGATGGGAGTTTCATGAAGTAGATTCAGATGGGTTTGTATAGGTATGTTGACGTCTGTGCTTTCTACCTTACGCGCGTAAATGAAATAAATCTCACTGATGAAATGTGGTGAGGCGATGGAAGCTTGATTTTTNTTGACTATAATGTGTATTTATTAATTATGTAATGTACATGTGCGATTGATCTATTTATTATTTATCTAATAGACTTCATTTAAGTTGATGTATTTCGATTATACTACATTAGTTACACTTACGTATAGTGTATATTCCTTCACTATATCTAATAATTTAACACATATTTGTTACTAATGTGATGTATGCCAAATCAAGATACGTGTTCAATTTATTTGAAATTATAGACCTTGATATAATGATGGTTACATGTAGTTTAATTAACTAATTAGATACTTGACTAGGCGGAATCTCGAAAAGTCCGACCTATTTGGTCATGACTCATGGACAAAAGTGAAAGACACACTTTAGAGGGAGGCCACATCAGATCTACACATATTATAATTAATCACAGACGTGAAATAAAGCTCACGTGAAAAAGGAGAAAAAAATAATAAAAAAAATATAAACAAACCAAGGGAAACAGTAAAAGATATCCCATGCATCCGACAAGAAAATGGGATCACTACAACTTCTCGTGTTTTAAATTTTTTATTACAGAAGTGGCCTAATTAGCAACATTCTTTACTCTCATAAAATAATAGGAGTAGATAATAGGCACTAATTAAAATCTTTGTGTGGGTTTCTTGTGTGTTTCCATCATAAAGTTACCGTTGACGTGCATGCATTATGTTCTATGTGATATATGTAGTACAATACAACAAATGGATGTACGCAGGCCACATCGCAGGTGAAATAGTAGATTAGTAAACGATTAACTAACGTCTATATTTTTAATTTATGATCCAATTTCCGGCACCTTCCATCAAAATTCTATCTCTCCAACTCTTTTCTTCTTTTTCTCTGCATATATATACACACCCGACCCGACATATACAAACAAGCCTTTATATAAATAATGTCACAGCACACCATAGCACTCAGCACAATAAAAGCGAAGTTGATACCTGCAGCTTNTTTTTTCTCCATAAACTCTTCGCCTCTGAATGACTGAATCACCTTGCTTTTTTCAATTTAATGGACTCTGACGTGAGCATTTCTCCTTGAGTTCATATTTATATTTAAAGATTTGCTATATGCGTTCGAAAATATGCATATTATTTTGTTTAAAATATATAAATTTTTAACGGTTAGATGAATGTTTAAACACTTCAAGATTAATTGAAAACAAAACAACTCGATTGGTCAAAACAGATTAAAATCGATTTTATCTCATATTCAAATGCACCCCTAAAATTTATTAAAAGTTTATAAAATTAAAAGTTGCACCTTATAATTTGTCAAACTTTTAATTACATTGTCATCACCAATTACTTGAATCACTGTCAAAAGTTGGGTGAGGCCTAAAATAGCGAAAAAAAATACAGATGTCTCATTTACGAACCACGCGGACAAAATGTATGAGCTCTATGGCGTAAGCAGCTGCTGTATTGAATTCATCTAAAGCATCACCAAAAAGCGAGCTGTCAAATCATTTAATTCAATTCCAAGTTAGCTAATAAAATCCATTTTGGTTCAATCCTTGCATGGCTGTGCGAGTTCACATAGCCCACACGACCTCTCCTCTTCACCTTCTGTGCGTTGCTTTTTCTCTGCCGCCCGGCGAGTGTTTCAGCCGCCGCCCGCCGCTCTTTTCCGACAGTTTTTGAGGTCGAGTTGCGCGAGACACCACATAATAACTATTTTCCTATTAACTTTCTTTTTTATTATTACTTTAGCGCCTTTTCCAATCTGAGTTATTCATATTTTCACTTTTGCTTTTTCAGAATTCTTTGCTGCTCTGTGTTAAGCTATTTGTATTTTTTATTCATTTTTGGTTTTCCTTTGCTGTGTGGGTTTAGTATTCAAATGCAATTATTCAACATCTGGTGCTATAACTGGGTTTATTCTGATTTCAAATCATTCTGCATGGGCAACTGATTGTGTTTTTTTTTTGGAAGTCGAAATTCAAATTTGTTCGGCTCCTCTGTTAAGAATTGTTCTGTGTACAAACAATTGCACACTGCAACTTTGGATGCTTCCATCAATTGTACACTAGTGTCAATGCAGGATGGTCAATGGTCAACGGAAAAAAATTGTGCATTTTATGATTTATATATAGTTCTTCTGTTGTGAGTACTCATGAATCATTAGTATCATGCTCGGGGGAATATTTCTTGTTTGTACTTCACAATTTGTGCTAATCAAAATGCAGAGCAATCACTCTCTAGCACGCTTGAACTGCACTAAAATTCAACTTAGAGGCTATTTACGCTTGAGCATCCCAATTCCCATATGCCCGGGAACAAGTTTAACGATGAGCCAGAAGTCCTCAGTACCCGAGTTGGGAGGCTCTTGAGGGAGAGGGAGCTGAGAAGGAGCAGCAGAACTCCTTCATTCTTGGATGGGAATGACCACTACAGCCGAGAGATTGAAATACCTTTGAACAATTCTTCCTATGTGGAGCAGTATTTAGATGAAGGGAATGATAGGCCTATCAAGCAGAGACTGTTAGTGGTTGCTAATAGACTTCCAGTGTCTGCAGTCAGAAGAGGTGAGGACTCTTGGTCGCTCGAGGTTAGCGCGGGTGGTCTAGTCAGCGCACTTTTGGGTGAGTTATTTTATTTATTTATTTGTTTTTGGTGTTCTATGTACAGTTCTTTCGGTTCTACCCATAATGTGATTTGTGTATTGGTGTGTAGGTGTTAAGGAGTTCGAAGCGCGGTGGATTGGTTGGGCTGGTGTGAATGTGCCGGACGAGATTGGGCAAAGGGCACTTACTCGAGCACTTGCTGAGAAGGTTAGAATAATTGGACAAAAAAGGTGCACTAGGACCTTTATGATAATTGGGAGCACACTTTCTGTTCTTCACTTCTACTGTAACTTTTTTTTTTTTTTTTTGGCAATTTAGAGGTGCATACCTGTTTTTCTTGATGAGGAGATTGTTCATCAGTATTACAATGGATATTGCAACAATATCTTATGGCCTCTTTTCCACTATCTTGGGCTCCCACAAGAAGATCGACTAGCAACGACCAGGAGTTTTCAGTCCCAATTCAGTGCTTACCAGAAGGCGAACGAAATGTTTGCCCAAGTTGTTCACAGACACTACGAAGAGGGTGATGTCGTTTGGTGTCACGATTACCACCTAATGTTCCTTCCGAAATATCTGAAGGATTACAACAGTAAGATGAAAGTTGGGTGGTTTCTGCACACACCCTTTCCATCTTCTGAAATCCACCGAACTCTGCCATCTCGATCTGAACTGTTGCGTGCAGTTCTAGCTGCTGATTTAGTGGGGTAATACATTTGGGCACTCCATTAACTAACTTACCAATCTCAGCATTCATTGTTTACATAGTGCGTTCGAATTATCTACATTAAGTCATAAGAATGGATATCTTGATTGATAAACTAATGACACACAAAGAACACAACTTATAGTTGAATCATGTTTATGCTTTCCTTTCCCTTCACATTCTCCTCATAATCTGCTAAAGCTTGTTATTAACTCTTTCATCTTAGTAATTTTACTTGAAATTTATTTGATGCGCCCAAAGTCTTAGTTTCTTTGTATCAATGCTGGCACTTATTTGTGTCAAGTGTTTTTACTATTAGTCTATTACCTGATTCAATAAATTCTGATCGTTTTTCATGTTGCTTCTTTTCAATCTTATATGAACCTTTCTTACCATCATCAATTTTATATCCTTTCTAGATTTCACACTTATGATTATGCGAGACATTTTGTAAGCGCCTGCACCCGAATTCTTGGACTGGAAGGTACTCCTGAGGGAGTTGAGGAGCAAGGAAGACTAACTCGTGTGGCTGCCGTGTGTTCTCATGAATTTTATTCGAATGTTCCTTTTTCTTTATAATCATTTTTTTTTTTTTTAATTTTTTTTGCGGTTGTGATATACCATAAATCATCATATAGCCTTAAAAGTTTTTTTTCTATATCTTTTGTGAACAGTTCCCAATAGGGATTGATTCAGAAAGGTTCATCCGTGCTCTTAAACTTCGTCAAGTCCAGGAACACATTAAAGAATTAAAAGAAAGATTTTCTGGAAGAAAGGTTCGCCAACTGTGCCCATCCTCATTTCTCTGATTGGAAAGTGTGCTTGAATTTGCATCAGTTATCCAGCTTTGAGAGAAGGGGCAAAATATTTGCCAATCAATCTTATATAACATTTAGTTGTTCTGTCTTGAGTAGAGATTGATACAACTAAACTGATTTCATGCACACAGAGTAATTTGCTTGACCTTTCTCAGATGATCTTCATGATTTTTGTTTAGTCTGAAGCCTATATTCTTACAGGTAATGCTGGGTGTGGATCGTCTTGATATGATAAAAGGGATTCCGCAAAAGATACTAGCATTCGAAAAATTTCTCGAGGAAAACCCATACTGGCGTGATAAGGTTGTTTTGCTGCAAATTGCTGTGCCAACAAGAACCGATGTGCCTGAATGTATGGTCTTAATATAGTTTGGTCATATTTTACTTACATGTCTGTGTTCTTTTATTGCATATTGACATATGATCTAATTTTTATATTTCTGATATCTATAGATCAGAAACTTACAAGCCAGGTTCATGAGATTGTTGGGCGAATCAATGGGAGATTTGGAACTTTGACAGCTGTTCCAATTCACCATCTGGTTAGTATTTCCTTCAGCAGGCTTACTAGAACTGTATCCATGTTCGCATTGACTTTTAAGTATTTAAGTTTCCTTTTTCCTGAAAAATTGGAAAAAAAAATTCGATACAACATCCCATATGGAGGACCAGCATGTAGTAGTACATTAAATTCAGGAACCAATACATAATAACTTACATGTTTTGTGTCATTCCATCTGAAGTTCATTTAAATTATGCAGTCGGAGTTTATTTGAGCCTGTTTTTCTGTGTCTTATCTACTAGGAATTCTTTATTATAATTGAGAAACAAGCATTTAATTTAATTCCAACAGACAAAAAAGTAATCCTACAAGTACGTAACAACACTTGAAAATTATCATATACTTAGTGCTAAAACTACTAGGTAATTCTGCAGTTTGCTTTCTCAGTTTTCTTTTCTTTTTCTTATAACATGTCAATCACCCATGATATCGAATGCAGCAAGCTTCAAGAGATTGTAATTTTACTGTATACTTTTGTTATACATGAAGCATATTACTGTTCTCTTACAGGATTGTTCTCTTGACTTCCATGCTCTGTGTGCGCTGTATGCTGTCACGGGTAATAAATGCTCTGCTAAACATGCTTTTCCTGTTTATCATTTTCTTTTTGTTTTTAGATCAAAAGTTCCTGCCCTTTTGCTAAGAAAGCCAACCAATATTACATTGACAGACATCTCTCTGATAAAACGTCACCATTAGAGTTTTTATGCAGTCTCATTTTATCAGTAGTACTAATAGCCACATTGAAGGTGGTATAACTGCCCAGAGAGTCCTGTTATATTATCATGTGACACTTGAGAAATATCCAGGTTGTCCTTGCACTACAATCAGTAACAGAAGTGAAAAGGAAAGAACTCGTGGCAAAAAAACTGTTGACTGCTCAACAGTTTTATGGGCTCAAAATAATGCTAATCTAGATTACAAACTCCACCATTTATGTGCTTGTATCGGTAGATTGATTTTTCTGAAAATTATTGATTTAAGATTGACTGAAGCAAATTATTGGCTGGTGGTCTCTTTACTCATCAGATGTAGCACTAGTCACTTCTCTGCGGGATGGAATGAATCTTGTCAGCTATGAGTTTGTGGCATGTCAAGATTCCAAAAGAGGAGTTCTTATCCTCAGTGAAGTAAGTATCGCGCTTTGCAATTTATTTTTCACATATTCTTTGTAGATTAATTCATATTCTGGACCAATCTTGATTGTTGGCAGAAAATATATTTTCCAGTGTCACAATGGTTTTACATTGTTTGAAGAAGAAAAAACAACTGTTCACATGCTTTATCTTCCAACAACGCATCATTTTGTTATTTCTTAATTATCGAACTTCGAATATCTCACTTCAAATTTATCTTGTCACTCTTGGCTGAACTTATTGCTTTGTTTAGCTAGTGAATATATTATGTTATTATGTGACAACATTTTGCAGTTAAGCCTTTTCCTCCTTTTGTATTCGAATTCTGCTTGGACAACCTTTTTATTATTATTTTTTTTAATCTACAGGTTATCACAAGTTAGAATAATTTTATCTTTTATTCAGTTCTTCATTTAACGGTCCCTTTTGGGCGAATTGTAGTTTGCTGGGGCAGCTCAATCTCTTGGAGCTGGAGCAATTCTGGTAAACCCATGGAATATCACAGAGGTGGCTGCTGCAATAGGCCAAGCTCTAAATATGCCTGCTGAAGAAAGAGAAAAACGGCATCGCCATAACTTCGAGCACGTCACAACTCACACTGCTCAGCAATGGGCTGAATTCTTCGTGAGGTAATTAAGAATAAAGAAAAGGGTCCTTTTGAATCTTCAGAGTTTTGTAACGGAGTAATATTTTCTGAAAGATCTATGACAGTAGGGTCCAAACCATCTACTATAAATAGTTCTCGGGTAACTAGTGAAATTAGAGAAGCAATCTCAATAATGAACTTTCTTCGTTTGAATCTTTCCTATCAATATAGACATCTCATTCCCCTTTCTCTAATGCAAAGACAGATTTCTTAAGGATTTCTTTCTTTTGGTATTGAGACTAATTCAAATGAGTCGGTACTCAGGATTCAGTTTTCATATATTGCATTAGATTGTTTAAATTGGAAATATAGTGGTGTTTGCACTTCTACTATTCAAAAGATACTTTTTTAGTCGTGTGCTTCTATGGCGTTGCTTGGTTTCCATCCAGAGATCTACTTGCATAGGGAATAGTGAATGCAGTCCTTTGTGTATAAGACACTGAAAACTTGAAATACAACTTATCCATGCAGCGAACTGAATGATACAGTTCTTGAAGCACAACAGAGAATAAGAAAAGCTCCGCCGCAACTTGTATTCAGTGATGCAATCAGACATTTCGTGCAGGCTGAGAATCGGTTACTTATATTGGTATGCTCGATTTTATTTGTAGACTTACAAAGTTTATATCAGAATCAGTAGATGTGCTTGTGTCATCAATGCAACTTCCCTCAAGGAAACAGATTTCTCTATAGTTAGTGATAAATATCTTTTAAATTCTTATGCTTATGTTGTATATTGTTCTTAATTCACTTTCCAACTGCCAAATTAGAATAAGAAACATTGAATAAATCTAGGTTTGAATTGAAAAATTATGCTGGATTCTTTCAGGAAACAACTTGCCTGCTTTATGATTTACACAAGCATATATTTTTGTTTTACACAAGTATATAATGACTTGTGCAACTAAATTATTAAAAATAAAAATTATTACACATGCTTTCACTATATAATCATGCAGTAAGAGTGGAGCAAGCTTTCTTAACTTTTTATTTACCATTATACAGGGTTTTAATGGTACACTGACTGAACCAATTGAAACACCTGGAAGAAGGGGAGATCAGATCAAAGAAATGGAACTCAAATTGCACCCTGAGCTGAAAGGACCACTCACAATGCTCTGCAGTGACCCAAATACAACAATTGTAGTTCTTAGTGGAAGTGACAGAAGTGTCTTAGATGATGTAGGTTACTAACCGTATTTGGCTTTTTTTTTTCTTTAGTGTAACTTATAAACTAAATGCATTTTGCAGAACTTTGGGGACTACAACATGTGGTTAGCAGCTGAGAATGGAATGTTTCTAAGATCAACCAAAGGAGAATGGATGACAACAATGCCAGAGCACTTGAATATGGATTGGGTTGAAAGTGTACAAGTAAGAGAATTGTGCATATATCATCTCAATTTAATAATAATTTTTATTCAACCTATAAATTACTCGTTCCCTTTTTAAAACTATTTCAGCATGTTTTTGAATATTTCACTGAGCGAACCCCGGGATCACATTTTGAGCGTCGTGAGACTTCACTAGTATGGAACTACAAGTATGCAGGTAATTGATTCCGTGCCACTGATGAGTTGGTTTTTATGCTTTACATCTCGAAATTATCATTCATTCTCCACTAGTTTGTCATGTCTCCTTGTTCTGCTTGTCGTATAAAAAGATGTTGAATTCGGAAGATTGCAAGCTAGGGACATGCTGCAACATCTCTGGACTGGTCCAATTTCTAACTCCTCTGTTGATGTAGTCCAAGGAAGCCGTTCGGTGGAGATTCGAGCTGTTGGTGTCAGTAAGGTAGCTACAACTCCTGAATTCTTCAGTGTGTTGAAATTAGTGTTTTTATATTTTTTTATTAGTAATTTATCTTTGTATTGTCTGGGATTGTGTACAGGGAGCGGGTATTGACCGCATATTGGGGGAGATCGTTCATAGTAAAGCCACCTGCAAACCAATAGATTACATCTTGTGCATTGGACACTTCCTAGGAAAGGTATACTTTTTCTTTTAACAAAGCAATACTCAATTCTAATCCAGTCAGTGGCAATTAATTTTACCTTGGCAGCTTGACCATGCCATTTACTTTCATTTGCCTCAGCATACTCTACAAATAGAAGTCGACAAAATTGTATAGACGATTTAGAAGGACACTATCGCTAATATATTATCAATGTAAAGCTAAACTTTCCTCACGGCAACCTGACAAATAATTTAACTCTGGGAGTAGAACTGGTATGAGTCGGAATAATTTAAGGGTGTATTAGTATGAAAAATGGAGCGGGAAGGGACATGATTAGTTCTAAAAATTATTACTGTCTTTCAGACTTTAATATATACTGCCAGTTTGTGCTCTGATTTGAAACTTATGTTTTAATTTCCCATTACTGCCAGGAGGCACCTACTAAAGTTTATTTGGATATTCCTCTAACCTAAATTTGCTTTAGGACGAGGATGTGTACGCATTTTTCGAACCAGAGCTTCCACTTGATAACTTGGGTATGCCGAGAAGTAAGGTAACCGATGCCATTAAGCTCTCAATCGACAAAAGACAATTCCCAAATCTTCCCTCTGGAAAAAGCAGCTCCAAGACTCAACAGAGCAAGAGCTACCAGCAACATAACCCTAACTCAGACAAAAAGTCAACATCTAGAAATGGGAAACACTCCTCAACTGAAAATACTTCTTGGAATGTTCTTGATCTGAAAAAGGAGAACTATTTTTCTTGTGCTGTTGGTCGGACTCGTACTAATGCACGGTATCTGCTTAATACCTCGGATGATGTGGTTGCCTTCCTTAAGGAGCTAACAAAAACAGCTTTCACTAACTAGTGTTAGTCATTTTGAGTCTAATGCTTCTTAGGAGCATGAAAATTCATGACCAAGCTATGGAATAATTTATATATAAGACCTATTAATCTCAAACCTTTGTAATTATAACACCTAATTTATCTGTTGATTTTATTGTCCATAGTGAACTTATGCTGGAATAGCTTCATTTTGACCTCTGTTCTTCTGGAAGCACTATCACTCCACACACACTCATGCGTGAAATTGCAGGTCTCCATTATATATGTTTGGCTGCATCTATCAAGAAGATGGAAATTGTCTAGTTGGATATGAAATGGTCAAGAGTCTTTAGAATCTTCACTAATGATCCTGCTGTTGGGTTTTAAGCAAATTTGAACAGCAGGAATGGCTAGATTACTATTGAATAGTGTTTTCCTAGAAGCATTTTCAGATGAAAATTCCAATAAAACAACAAAAAATAAAAATCATAATAACAAGATCGTGGTGGTTATATTAGCATCGTCCCAAATAGTTCCTTCTAGAGATTTGGAAGTAGGAGGTATATTGAAAATTCACTTATTTAGAAGTTAATGGTTTAAATTGACTTTAGTGCCCAGTGACATTATGGGACAATCCATTAAAGACTGATGGTTTCTGGCAGAAGTCATTCTTGTTCTTGTTTCTGCCTAACTTCCTTCTCCAAACCCATTTCCATCTCTTATTTGACATCATTTTTTGAGGGGTGGACTTTTCAGCACATTGAGAATGCGTATGCACCTAAAACATAAATTTTAGGTGAACCACAATGAAACAAGTGGAAATTAGGAAAACAGTTTCCCTTGGCCATTCAACGCAAATCAGCAAAGTGTGAAAATTATTCACATTCCTCATACTCGAAGTATCACAACCAAATCATCCATATGGTACCATTTCCTATTACAGGACACAATACTGAAAATAACTAACAGAGGTTCTTTTACAGGACAAGATCCTGAAAAACTAACACGTAATTTCATTCGATAGTACATGGACATGTCTGCGCCCAATGTAGCAATTCCTAAAGCAGAGAGTGAAGAAAACAGAGAAAGAAATGAAAGTGCAAGCTGAAGCTGAGTGCAGTAAAAGCTAACATACCTAGATAACAATGGTGCCAAAATTCAGCCCAAAAAAGATCCACAACACAGAACACTTATTATTATGCAGCGGTTTTTCTGTTGGGTTCGAACACATACTTGATCAAAGATTCCTTGATCGGTAGTAACTCGGGAAACTCTTTCTTCAACTTAGAGGCATCCATCTCGTTATTGCTCCTCGGGGCAACTATGACCTTGGCCTGCTCTTCAAGAGTGAAATTGGTCCATTTGAAATCTGGCTCGATATATTTCTTGTACATCTCAAGAATCTCATTGTGGCTGACAACACCAGGGTTCGTGAAGTTCCATATGCCACTAAGGTTGCGTTTGGCCATCTCAATCGAAATTGGAAGGAGCTCGTCCAAGATTGTCATGCTGTTGGGGATATTGACCACCTTGCTGTACCTTGAAATTTTGGTAATGAAATTGCGTGGGTTATTCAGGTCTGAGGATATCGGCATACGAACTCTGAGAGTGCAAACGTTGTCATATTCTCTCAATAGCTCCTCAACCTGATCAAGACCACAAAACATCAAAAGGAAAAAATTAATAACCATACACACAAGCATAATTCTAAATTGAAAAATTTGTACAGAACAAAGCACATGCATGAAGAGAAGGGGTATATTAGTAAATTTACCATGGCCTTGGTCTTGGAATAGAAAGAGCCAGTAAAATTGGGTTTGTCCTCCTCCTTAAATCCAATGCCAGAACCTTCAGGATGTGCTGCATCATACTCAAATATGCAACCGGTGGCAAAATTCATCACGAGGAGACCATTTTCCCGGCACACGTCAGCCAAGGTCAGTGTACCCGCCACATTCGCACGAATTGTTTCAGTCTTGTGAGATTCGCACCAGTCGACATTGGGTCTACCAGTTACACCAGCCGCATTAAACACATGCGTCGGCTTAACAGAAAGAATATCGGCCACGAGCTGAGAGCGATTCTCGAGACGCCCCTTTCCGTATTCGTAAGCAATCCCCTGTTTCTCACACAACTTTCCAAGCAAACCACCAATCCACCCAGTCTTACCATAGATCAAAAACTTCAAGCCTGGTTTTTCTTGTGATGGAGTGTTTTTGGCGGGCTGGTTTGATTTCCCATCAAACTCGGATTTACCAGATTCATACTTTTCGGCCCCGTCAAAATTTCTCTCAAGTCCACCAGGCATCATGAGCATCCTAGGATGAGGGAGCAATGCACCAGAGACATCTCCCCACCAATCAGGATTGCTCGTGTACCACTCGATGGTCTTTTTTAAACCTTCTTCCCATACAGTCCTCTCAGACCAGCCCAAATTATGGAGCTTTTGGTCGTCAAGGAAGTACCTCTGATCGTTAAACGGCCTGTTCTCCACAAACTGGATGCTCTTGTCGGGGTCCATGTTAAACAGCTTGCATATGTCTTTGGCTACATCGATGACTCTCCTTTCCTTTTTAGTCCCAATGTTGTAAACATGACCAACTTCTCCCTTGTGAAGGATGACTTCGAAAGCCTCGGCAACATCCTCACAGTAGAGGTAACTCCTCACATTCGAGCCGTCTCCATGAATTGGAAGAGTTTTTCCCCTCATTGCCAAAAGAATGAATTTCGGAATTAACTTCTCCGGAAATTGATTAGGGCCATAAACATTGTTCCCTCTGGTGGTAATCACAGGCAACCCATATGATCTACCATAAGCCATGACAAGCATTTCGGCCCCTGCTTTCGTGGCAGAGTAAGGGTTTGTGGGCAGTAACTGAGAGGCCTCGTGATTCCCCACAACAGCATCCTCGTCAGTTTCTCCATAAACCTCGTCAGTGCTGACGTGTATGAACCTTCTAATCTGGCCGGTAACTTTGCAGGCCTCCAAGAGAACATGGGTGCCATAAATGTTGTTCTTGGTGAATTCAAAACTGTTTCCAAATGAGTTGTCGACATGGGTCTGGGCTGCAAAGTGCATGATAGTATCAATGTTCTCAGTGATTAGAAGGTAGTTGACGAGGTCAGCGCTGTCTATGTCTCCCTTGACGAACTTGAAGTTGGGAGATGATTTTGAAGGAAGGAGGTTTTTGAGGTTGGAACAGTAATCAAGTTTGTCTAGCACGACAATCTTGTACTCAGGGTAGTTTCTAATAAGCCTGTTTGCAACATGGGAAGCTATGAATCCAGCTGCACCGGTAATGAGGATGTTCTTGGGCGTGAACGTAGACATCTTAGCTCAATATCTACACAAAAAGAAAACATGTAGCGAAGAATGACCATCAGATGCAGAAACAATTCACGTGTGACAAAATCACTACGAAAAACAAAATGAACCTCTTGACCCAAATCAGATGATCGGGAACAAAACAATCATTGCTAAACGAATTTATGAGTGTAAAAATATGAATTTGCTCCAGGTTAATTCGGATCAAACATCAACGGGAGTTGAAAGCTTCCAAACAGATCAACTAATTAATATGTAGATCCAACTATATAATTATAATCACAGAATTGAAGCTTTCAATAACTGGTCATAAATTCCTTAACATACCTTCATACAATCACACATTCACACTTATTCACAAATTTCATACAAATGTACATGCAATGTACGAATGCAGAATAGAATTAGGAAAGCAAAATTACGACCTGATAAACACACAGAGCAGATCGGAACATAACAAACCTAGAATCGCTAGAAGCAAATTCCTGTGCATTAATATTATTAAGAACCAAACAAAGGGATTAATGGAAAAGCTCACCTTTTACTCCGATCAGTCAGAATCACGATCCGCCGGCGAGCAAATAAATCGAGCAAAAATTAAGTACGAACAGATAAGTGAGAGAGAATCAGAGAAAATTGGAAATGAGAGAAAGAGAGTGACGAGAAGGATAGCGCGACAAAAGTATGTATTAATAAACGCTGCTGGAGCAAATCTCCATCACTATTGTTATCAATTTATCGATTATTGGCCAATCAGAGAAAGGTGGGCAGAAGGGGTAAGAGAATGTGGAGGGCTGCGTAGAAATGCGTGTGAAGGGGCACGGAAAGTGGGGACAATGAATTGGCGGAATTGACCTTTGAAGGGATGGTGATCAGTGACTGTGTGCTGTTGTTAGCTCAGCAGCTCACACATGAGAATTTGGTAGGAGGGAGTCAGAGAGTGATGATGGGTAGGTGCAAAACAGAATTGAATTGAAACTTTTTTTATACGACCAAAGTCCACGTGTAATGCTCACTGTTTTAAAAATCGGCCTATGCAATGCCTAGGTGCTAGGCGGTGGCCTGCCGCCTCCGATTTGTATAAATCGATCTAAAAAATCGGTCAGGTGATTAGGAGCGCTTAGGCGGGCTCGACGGTAATTTTTTAGTTTTTTTTATTAATTTCTTTAAATACTAATTACTTTATTTTGTTCTCATATTTTCTTTAAAATATACTAATATTATTATTTGGACTAGGTGTGTGTAATTATTATAAATTGAGATAGTTTGTTTTGTAGGTAGTTAAAATAAATAAAGAATAAGGTATTTAATATTAATTTCTAGGCCCCGACTAGACGTCAGGCCCTGGTCGAGCGCCTAGCGACTTTTAAAACACTGGTGATACCGTGAATGTTTTTGGGCCAATTAAATTTAATTTAATAAATTAATTAATTTATTAAACTTAGAGGAAAAAAAATAAAATATAAAAGAATGAAATAATATATTACAATACTAAAAAAAATGATAATTACCATTGTTCTGAAAACCGGATTGGACCACCCGGTTCGACCGGGAACCAAGCGTATTAGCGGTCTGGTCTGCGGTGTTTAACCGCTTGTCACGAAAACTGGTTAAAAACAAACCGTTCAGACCGTTAAAAAAATCAGTTCAGACCATTAAAAAAACGGTATAACCGGAAAATCAGACACGGTTGGACGACGGACCGGTTTCTTAGCTTTACAGCGTTTCCTTACTCTTGAGTTCATTTAAAACACTCAATGCCTTTGATATTCTTTATATTCTTTCGATGTGGGATTCTGTGACTTTTCTATTCTTCTTCTTTCCCGTTTAACCTCACTTTTTAGTCTTTTGACTTGGGCCTGGGCCAAAAGCCCAATAAACCTTTTTCAGATTTTTTTTTCTATTCTTCTTCTTTCCCGTTTAAACCTCACTTTTTAGTCTTTTGACTTAGGCCTGGGCCAAAAGCCCAATACTTTTTTTTTTAAAAAAAAATATATGCATGCAAAGTAAACATTTTTTTCAAAATTCTCTACTAAAAGCCCACAACCGAGCCAGGACGAAATAATAAGATTTAATTTGATATATTTAAGCCATTATTTTTTTAAATGCAAACTTTTACTAAAAGATATATTATAATATAATTAAAAATTTAGAATTTACAAAATATATACAAACTTTACATAGTAAATTTACCTCTTTAATGTTTAATCTGATAATGATATAATTATACAGTTATATATTATATATATTAGTTTAAACTAATGATAAAAAAATATATATAATTATTACATAAAATATATACAATCATTTTGTATGTATAAAAATGTCATTATACACTATAAAATTAATGATAAAAATATATGCAATTATATATAACACATATAAAATAAATAAAAAATTATATATTAATTAAACCGGTTCGACCGGTTCGACCACTGATCCGACCAGTGAACCATTGAACCGGTAGCTTCACCGGTTCGACGGACGGTTCGGTTTTCAGAACATTGATAATTACATGCAATAACTATTATATATAATGCAAATTTTTTTATTGATTTGGAGCCTTACATTTAATACAAGAAAATAATAAAATTTCAATGAAAAATTCTGCGAAAATATATTCCAACAGAATCGTGTTAGTACTCCCATTCCAATGAAAATTCTAACAAAAGTATTTTGTTGGAATTATGAGAAAATTCATGTTTATTTAATAGGTCCGACGTAGGTCCTCATCCCAAAACATACAGGATAAGGTATCTAACAAAAATTATGGCAACAATTTTCATATTCCACCTATTTTGAAAATAAAATAAAATTAAAAGAAATAAAGATACATAAGGAATTAATTAAAACTCAACCAATTAATTTAATTGTGCTCATAACTTTATTAAAGGTATAACATAAACGCAGTATTACGACTAAAAGAAATATGGTAAATCTCAAAATTATAATTTTACCCTGTAATTATATTATTTTAATCTTGATGATAATTTTTATTATCTGGTTTGCAACATATTTTATTATAACTTCAAAATATATATTTTTTATGTCTTCCGATGTGGAATTCTAGTTATATATTCATAATTTATAAATTGATTAATGATTTTGAATGTTTGAAAGATATTGTCACTTTTTTATTTATGCTTGAACATATGTACAATTACTTTAGAGTACGTACTTTAATGTAATGTGTGATAATTTCAAAAAATAATTTAGCACCTCGCGAACATGTAATCAAGATTTGGAAAGTCAACTTTTATTTAGAGATAAATTCATTTTCATCGCTTGTGCGATGCCTGCATGGGGTAGGTACCAATTTATCTATATGGAGAGAGAGTAATATAGTAGTTTATACAATAATAAAAAAATACTAACAATTTTACATGAACTGTTAGTGGAAATACTTTACAAATATCATACAATAATATAGCTTGACTATATGTTTGACCATAATATTTTTAAGTGTTTGAATAAAGTAGATGTTTTGCTAAATGAATTAAGAAAGATTTTGTAATACTATTGATATATTGGGCTCCAACGAATAGGTATAAATTTTTTTATGTGAATATCAAAACCAAAATAAAAGAAAACCACTCTCGAATCATATAAAATAAATAAATAAAAGAACTAATGTATCTATAATATTCCCAATTAATTATTTAGTATTTTCTTTTCATTAAAGACTCAATTTCCATATATTTTCTTAAGTTGTAATATATTATTTCATTCTTTTTATATTAGAATATCGTTATACTATTTTGGAGAAATAAATACATTAAGAATCATTTATTCTACATTTTATTTCATTCTTCCAATGATTTTTTAATAAATTAATTTATTTATTTGACTAAATTAATCGGCAAAAAACATTCACCAACCTTAGAAATGACGTCCCATTCCACTTGCACAATCAAACACAATAAAACTCGTAAAACATATGTCACATTCAAATTGTTTCAAACACCAAACAGCGGTAATGCTAAGGAGCTATCTGTTGGCTCCGTTACAGAGCCAACAGCCAATGGCACAGCTCCATGTGGGGGCTGTCCCAAATGTGGGACAACCCCACATGAAACTGTCTCATTGGCTGTTGGCTCCGTAACGGAACCAACAATTGGCTCCTTAGCATTACTAGACCAGACATAACCAAAAGCGCAGCTTCTTGCCAAAAGGAGAATGGGTACATAACATAAGCACTACAGAGAAGACAGTGCTTAGCAGTGAGCCGATGACTGTGAGACAATCAGAGCACTGGAACTGAATCGATTGAAAAGAGAACAAAAATAAAAGAGTAGAAACTTTTAAAGAAGAAAAACATTGCAGGCAAATAATCTCTCTTTTGTTACAACAATAATACATAGTTCAATGATGGAAACAATGAACAATACAACACAACACTAAAGAACTACAAATCGGCACGAAGTAAATACAGCCAGCTCACACTCACAAAAGGCACCAAACATAAAAACTTCACATAGCGTGAAATTCGTTAGATATTCACACGTCCTTCACGAGCAATTGCTGTACACCTTCGCCCGCCATCCAAATTGCTATATATATAAAAACTTTACCCAAACTAGACTAAGTCAGTCCAATCTGCACAGCTGCAACTTCCCGATGCGTAGCTGCTGCAGGCCCAGCCACAACAAACTGTGTTTGGGCCTGCAACAGTTTAGTATCAATCGCGATTTGACCATTCATATTCATAATATTAATACCCCCACCAGCAACTGCTTTGGAATGTGGCTGATAATAAGGGTTACTGTTCCTGTCACTACCACCCATCACTGGCGGGTTTAGTTTGGGCTGTGCTTTCATGTCGATATATGTACTGTTTATTGATTTAGCTTGTGGGGCTATGTATTGCTGCTGGTTAGGTGGTGGTGGCTGTTGTTGGGCTTGAGATGAACTCATCCTTGAATTATTTTGATTCGTTCCTGTGCTGGTCCTGAAGTAACATTGAGGAGAAATGGATTGTGAAGGGAGAAGGTAAACGCCTCCATCATAAGACGAGTCGTTCACGTGACGGACATTCTCGTAAGGTAGAACCGGTCCCACTACCCTTCCTGGTTTGGCTGCAACCGAAAAATACTGGGTTAAAAAACTAACTTTACCACACTTCTAATATTAACTAGAAAAGTTGTTGTAAGTAACCCATCAACTATTAGATATAAGCGCAAAATTAACTTATTAGCTATCAATTAACTTATCGGCTAGTAAAAAAGCTAGTCTTCTTCAGTCACGTCTACCAAACATACCTTATTTGTGGTATTAGATCAAAATTAGTCTTAGAATTAGTTGCACCAGGATAATATCTATCCATATCTAGCAACTTAATCGTTATTTCTGAACTTTTTATTGCCAGGCACAGTGGTCAAATGGCTTGTGTGTGTTTCAAATCATATGTTGATTGCTAAAATTAGAAAGCAATGGGACATGAGGAATTTGATATACCGTTAGGCATGCGTGGTGGAGGCCGTGAAACCTTCGGCATACTACCAGAAACAGAATCCGGAACTCCTAATACCGTTGGTGGTGCTTCTGCTGTCGCTTTTCGGTTATCATATGCAGAGACATACAGTTGTGCTTTAGGTGGAATAGTACTAGAGTTAATCGTAGACCTGGGAGGGGGAGAGAGAGAGATGTCAAATTTTAAGTAGTAAGGCACTATTACATCAACATTGTCCATTTATTAACGTTTAAAAAT